TCACTCAAAAACTGCAACTGCCCCCATCCATACTTGCCTATTAGATAAAGTTAAATTTGTATTCTTCAAGGTTTTCCAGGATTTGACAACAACGTTTCCAACTTTATTTCATCCATATTTATCCACAGTATTTTATCTCATTTCCACCAAACTAGATTATTTTCATGAATACATAACCTATACATAGCTATAATTTCCTCATAATTGTCATGTCTTTCACTAATGTATCTGTTAAAACATTGTTCACAGTGATTTTTTGACATGGCTTTTAAAATATTGTTTCTTTCATAAAATTGATTCATAGTCACTGTAAATGACTCAAACAGAAAAATACAAAGAATAGGTAAAACTCATTTGAAATTTTACAATTCAAACTAAGACAATTCTCTAGATTTAAATATATGCAAACAATTATATGTAAATAATTCATACTTATGCCTTATAACTGTTGTTGCTTATCTTGCTCTCTTTTATGCACCAGCATGTTGCAATTATCCTTCCATGTGTAAAAAAAATGTTGTTTGAATCATCGTTTTGATTCTCACATATTCCATTATATATAGAGTCAATATGTACTCAGTATGTACCAAAGAGGATATAGGCTGGCATCTGTCCATCCTAAAAAGTCAAACATCTACTCTGAATTGTCAGTATATACATTATACTGGCTGTTATGTATTTTTTAATGTGTCTTTAATTTTAGAACTGTCATTATTTACCTAAGCAGTCTTCTCTTGATGGACAACAAAAGGCAATACTTTAATCAATTTTTAATAAAAATGAATTGTATTTATCCTTTGAAATACTGCTAAGACAATGTGTTCTGTTAAACCATGTTCAAATTCCCCACCCAGAAATAATCGCCATCCTTCTTCTGAATTTCCATAGGACTTTGTCCAGGCCTCTGCATTCATCACTTTCGACCTTGGATTCTAATTATTTCAGTCTTCTTTCCCTAATAGAATAAAAGCTCCTTCAGGACAACAGCTCTATAGATTCCACAGTAGTTGGATCAATGCCTCGCACATTATAAACATTTAAAACTTGTTTGTAGAATAAATGGTTGAATTAATGAATGTCAAAAAATAGATCAACAGAGCACACTATATCACAAGGGCAATTCAGATTTCAGCATGTTGAAATTATTTGTAAATGCTCAAATAAATTATGTAACTTACCTTAAATTATCTAGTAAGTAAATTAGCAACTGTCAATGACATTAGAAAGAAACAGGAGAAAAACCTATCAAATAGCAATTTCTCATAAAGCAATTAGAAAAGCAATTAATGAGTGGTGAACCTTGGAGACTATAATGGAATTACTGGGTGAGAATACATTCATTTAGCCATCATTCCTCTAAATGCCAAGCAAGACTTTACAAAGTTCATTCACTGATGGTGCTCTGCTGTAAGAAAGCTGAAAAACTGGAGACACATAAATTGAATTGTGTAAACTATATTTTGAGTTTTGCCATGATCAGTAGACCCTAAAATAATTTTGAAATTTAAAGAGATATAAGATAAATGAATAATAACTCAAGTTCAATTTCTGCAGGCATGGGGTTCCTACGCACTCCTACTTTTTGTTAATGAGAAGGAAATCCAGCTTAATACTCCATCTGGTCCACTTATCAGACAGTGAAAGGCATGGATTTTGCCTTTAAGAGAAGATATTCATAGGATAAGCCATAAGACCACTCAACCTCATGTTCTAGCAAGTTGTCTTTTCTCAGTGCCAGTTGCACTGTACAGAAAATCCATTCCTCATCTTAAATTTCATAACCAAAAGAATGCTACGAGTTTGTAGCATCATCATGTACTGCATATAGGGAATGGAGGAGAAGGACAAAATGAGTTATGGTTTCTGGACATGTCATAGTTTGGAAGCAGATTTGCTATTTTCTTATTTAGAATTTCAAGTCAACCATTTCACTAAACCTTATTTTATGTGTTATCTCTGTTCAGTTCTAATTGAACACTAGGACCCTGATATAAGCCAGCTTGCCCAGAAATGAGCCTGAGCCAGTAGCACTTTAAAAACTGCAAAGGGTGTGTTTGTTCCCATCCTTATGGATGCTTGTCATTCTATGGTAGAGTCAGGTTTGGCTCAGGAACATCAGAAAATATAATAGAGTTTCACAATTCCTTATCTGAAATTTCAAAATCTAAAAAGTCTGAACACACAAAAAAATTGTTAACTCATTTAGTAGCAAAACTTAACCTTAATTGACCTGAGCTACTTATAGTTTTTATTCATCCCACATAATGTAACTATTTTACAGACTTGGCTGCAGAAATATTAAAGTGTTTGAGAGTTTCTACCCCAAATCCTACAGTGGGTGTTATATAATAGAATATAGATAACTTCTAAAATCTAAAATATTCTTAACTCCAAAACTCATCTGGCCTCACATGTTTTATATGAGTGACTATGGACCTGAAATGATAATAGCTAATATTTACTAGATACTTGCTTAGTGCCAGCACCAGTCTAAACACTCTGTATTAATTAGCTCACTTAAAATTTAATTCTTCTTTGCAAGAACTCTATGATTATACAGATTTTACAGTTCAAGAAATTGAGTAAAAGTAGGTTCAGTAACTCACACAGCACACTAAGTGGTAGAGCTGGGATATGAACCCAGCAGTCCTATGCCATAGCTCATAGACCCTACAAATCCATGCCACCCTCCATGCTTTGTTGGAACACACCTGTCCTTTGGAAGAATTAACTATTTTCCTTGGTCTAAAAGGAAAATTATAAAACAAAATCATCCACCAGTTCTCTCCCTTGCCAAAATTTTCTTAGAGAAAAAGAGTGGATATATAAGAAAAGAGCACTTATTTTCCTATTGTTTTCCAGAGACTACTACTGGATTAGGCATACTGGACGGTACCTCTGAAGTATAGCCCTTGAATAAGCTCTTAAGATGACCACTTCTGGCATCTTTTAATGAGATCCGAAAAACACCAGAAATACCACTATGCACAGCTTGCTACAACTCACAAAGCAATGGAAACAAACAGGTAAGGCTGACATTCCTCAAAATCACAAGGTCAAGAAGTGGTTGACATGTTCTGAAAAAAAATAATTTCAAACTATATCACTTCAGTTTTTAACTGAAAAGTGACACTTTAGTTAATTTTAGTTCCAAATATCTCATGACCATAATGTATCTGCCTTGATAAGAGGTATCTCAGACTGTCCTTTTCTGCTGAGCTTTGGGGGATCCTGAAACCTCGTAATCATTTTGTTATGAGACCTCCTTTCTTTTGTTTCTGAAGGAAGTAAAGCCAATGGGTCTCTAATCTGAAAATTGACTAGTGGAGTTTGATTATAATACAGCAGTTTTCTGTGTTTTAGCAAGCACTCTAGGAAAAAAGAAAAAATAATATAGCAGTTTTCATTTGGATGACAGTACTCTGTGTTTAAATGTGTGACTGATTTAGAGTTAACTTTTCTAAAAGGATGAGCAGATTGGTTTTCCTGCAGTGGGGCAGCAAGGTTTGAGACTCAGATCTCCCTGCAACCTTTAATATGATCAGATGCCTGGTGTTTGTAATCTATCCACTCTCTGAAAGAGTAGGGACCAGACTTTGCTGGGAGCAACAATAAAAGGACATGAAAAAATTCATTCTGAAATGGCCTAAGGGTATGGGAGACAGACCATGTCTGTGACATTGATGTACACCCACTGGAACCTGCTAGGAGAAGTGTTGCCTCCTCTGAACCCCCAGAGAGGATTCAGCTTTCTACAGGACCCATGGTGTGCATCTGTTGGAACCTGGCAGAAGTGCTGCCTCTTCCAAACCCCTGGAAAGCATTCAGCTTTCTACAGGGCCCATGGACTAAGGGGGTGATTCCACTTACTTCTTTGTATTGGTTTATGCTACAACCTGTGTACAGAGATGAGGCACTACAACCCTTACCTTATTTTTTTGACTGGTGATCATACCCTTTCTTTCCCTCTGTCGTGAGAAGTGACAGACAGCGTTAAGCTCTACCACCCTTCCTTATAGCATCACCCATTTAGAGGAAAATGAAACTTCATCGACTACACAACTGAAGTTAGAAAATTAGTGCTAACCAATATGTCAGTCCTTACTTAATCTGCCACATTGAAGGTGAGAGAATATAATAAAGCAGCTACGTTTTGTGATTTTTAGTTACCCAACAAGTTATCTCAGCAAAGGTATTAAAACTCACTGATTTATGCTTTTTTTCTAGTTTAACATTTAAAAATAAGCAAATGCATATAGTTTTCTAAATATACTCTAATTCTACCATAACTATCCCATCCAATTTCTATTTTTAAAAATCCTATCAATCCTATCAGTTTTTAAAAGTCCTATATAGAGTTACCAAATCATGAATTGTGTTACAAGAGCAAAACAGAAGCAAATCAATACCCTATTAACAATATTAATGATCACAGTGATTAAGGCTTTTTCCTTTCTGAATTGAAGTCAAGGCTGATTGTGAAGGATTAACACACAGTGAGCCATCTGCAGTGAGATCGGACAGATAGAGTAGTTGGTCTATGTATGCATCTAGGAATCAATTCTGCTCTGCTGCTCTTTCCAGACATCATTTCAGTCGCGTCTTCTGGTTTACCCACGCTGATCTCCATGATCCTGATGCATGTTGCTATACTTTACGCCCATTATATTCTTCACCCTGTCACACTTTCTGCAGCACAGGTAGTGTTTGTTTCCTTCCATTTTACTCATCACAGTATATAGTCCTCACAGCAGCACTGTACTCAGAGGAGAAAGTGGGAAACTGTGAGCGTGATTAATTTGCAAACTGGATAATCCTCCTGCATGTAACAGAACTGACAGCATGTAATTACACATGCACATTATTTTCATAAAGTTGTTCACTCAGGTCATGTTTGAAATTCATAGTGAAGTTATTTCTTTATAAAGTGGAGGCTGTAAAACAAGGAAGTTTGACTCATCCTAACGCAT